CAAAAATATGTTCATTTAAACCTGTGTCCTTTAATTTCATCTTTTTCATATTTTAGTATTAAGTATGACAGAACATACATTTGGTGTTGAATAAAATATTTGGACAATTTTTAAAAATTATTAAGTTAATCATTTTATTGAAGACTATAACATTGTATATACAATAAAAAAATTATAATTTTATTATGAGCCACGCACAACAACACCTAACACTCCACACAAACCACCTTTCCCGCCCACCGAAATATAAAACACAATTTAATACAATATCATCAGTTAGTATAATAGCTTTTTTTATTTGAAGTGTTTATCTTAAACATAATACAATTAATTCTTACAACCTCCTTTTATAGTTAATTCCTAACACTACTTATTTTCTATAAAATAATCTGTCATATCGGTATACATATCCAGAAGGTAATATAAGTCCTTTAAATCTTCCTCGTTTTGAGATGAAAGAGTTTCATAACAAATCCATCTTTTTCGCATAGTTGAAAGAACAGGATCAGAAGATAGAAGTAAACTATTAAAAATATTTTCATTCTGTGATTGCCTGGAGCATTTTCTTGAGCTGAATAGTTGAACATGCTTAAAATCTCGATTCCTCGCTTCCTGGGCTTCTTCTGTTATCTCTCCAAGTGGAAGAATATTCGATTCAATTAATATTTGACCATGACACAATACTTTGTGTACTGTTGGTGTTAGTTCCCTCCATGGATACAGAGATACAAGTAATTTAGAAATTTCAGATGTATATTCCCCAAATCGATTTCCATTAATTTTATGTTTACTATTCAGTGCCATTAAAATAGTGTTAACTCTTCGAAGCAACTCCTTGTCGATTCCAGTTATTTTTGAAGTAATTTCAAAATCACGAAAAAACCTTCTCGCCGTATTACCGTCATTTGTACTACCGCAACTTGGAAGTGGTTTGTCGATTAATCCCATCTGAACTTTAAATTCTTCTTGGATTCTGCTTTTTTCCGCAGCTCTCAGTTCTTTCAATTCTTCATTATTTTTTGTTGATTTAGTAAGATTCTCTGGCACACTTCTATATTTGAGGTCGTATGCTATGTGTAAAAAGTAATCCAAAAATCGTATTCTGGCATGAAGTGGGGAAATTCCGAAAGACAGGACTTCTTCATTAATACTTCTGCTTTTGTTTATATTTGAGAATTGCGACTTTTTCTCATTACATATTGATCATCTCCAGAAGGAAGAAGTTTCTGTTATGGCATTGCTGACCTTTCCATCAATCATTGTTAAGCTTAGCTGATATGATACGTTAATAGAGAATTCCTTTATTTTTATGCAAATGGGCTCCAGTGCATTTATTTCATCTTTTAAATATTCCACTAAATCTTTTGTTGTTTTCTTTGACTCCTTTATATATTCAAATCCAATGGGTCTACAAAAATTTTTTGAACCCGGAGTTGTATTGATCCATATATCTTCAAATGAATTTCCGATGCTTGACGATGATGGATTAAGGGAATATGAACGAATTCGTAATGGCACTAATGATGACATAAATACACTTTTGTAGTCTGCTAATGTCCGACTTCCACAAACTTGTTTGTATTCTGGAGGTGCTGATAAACCGTCACATCCCCACTTACACATTAAGACAACATCACAGTTATGAATCTTCCTTAGTTGGTCTTCTGAAAAGTCTGACACAATTCTTGATGCTGTGTTTTCGAGCAAAGATGATATATCAATACAAGCTTCCACATCATTAACAGCAATAGGTGATGGTAGGATAGTTTGTTTTTTTTTTTTCCTGAATCGCCTTGTATGATGGTAATATATTGTGTCCTTTTTCAAAATCTTTATTTATGAACAAAACTCAATGAAATTTTCAACGCTTGTTAAATTTGAAAAGGTCAAAGGGCATTACGCAATTCCCAAAAATAGGAATGAAAATCCCAAAAATGGGATTTTTTACATTTTTGCCCATAGGGTCCACATTTCTTTCAGGACTGGGAAAATACTTTTGGAGTAAATAGAAAACATATTGAGGTTTCCAAAACTGCTTTCAGTTTTCTGATCCCAGCTTTGGGATTTTAGAACATGTCGCCCAAAGTTGAAGTTTTGATAAAAAATAGGTCATATTCGGAAGGACGCAGTGGCAACATTTTCAAAATATAGGACAAGTTTTTTACGCCAAAGCGTTCGGCGTAAAGATACCTTTTAGAAAACTATAAAATTGTTATATGTTCTTAAAGAAAATTTTATTTTATTAATAAAAGAGTTAAGACACATTTTGGGCAAAAAACGGCAAAAATCTAAAATTTTTTGAATTTTTAAATTAAAAAACGTATATTTTTGGATCTGTAAATGATATTGATCTGAAATTTTTTGTGTATTATTGGAAATTTTGTTGTCTAACTAACAAGAAAAAATTTAGTCCATTTGGTCCAAAATTACGCCCGGTATTCAAAAAAAGGCGGACCAAGGTATGGTAAATTTTGTATCACTAAATTTATAAATGCCTATATTATAAGAGATAAGTAGTATGTCCAAGCATGTTTTTTCAAGATCTCGTCGAGTGCTTTCAGAAAATATAAAAATCTTTTTATTTGGGTGAAAAACAAAAAAGTTTAAAAATTTTACATGTCGTAGGTACCCTACTTTGAGCCGTCACAGCTCCATCCCTGGGGCATCTGCGGGGTTCATCTTCAAAACTTAAACTCGAATACTCCTTGGCTACGCTCACGCCAAATTTTTTCCCGATCGGATCAGCCGTTTAGAAATGCCAGATTTATTTCCAAAAAATTTCCATTCTGCCCCACTGTGCATCCGAATATACCATTCTTACTTATTTCATTTGTTTTTAATTAAAAAAATTAAAAAAATTTGTATTGATGAAAACAAAATACAGTTGTTATATTTTCTGCACATAAATCAATACTAATAGTTGACCACATCATTATTTGAACCATAGTGCGATCGTGTGAAATCTCTTTTGCCTTGTTTATACCCTGCCACACTATAGTGGAATGGATACAGGATGTTTATGCCAATGTTTGTAACGTAGGTACAAAACAATTTTTTCTCATAATCTTGTTTGATATTTCGCTTAGCCCCCATAAAATGTCTGACAAAATGTATTCATATTTATCCAAAATTTGTTCAAAATGGATATCGAACTTTGAGATGATCACATAAGCTCCTCTTTCGAAAAATATATTTCGGTGCATGTCTTACTAAATTAGCTTAAGTGGTCTTAATTGTCATAAATGTTTCTGGCGGAAATTCTCATAATGTTTTTATACTCATAAATATCTGTTTCAATAGTCGAAATCTAATTTCTAATAAATTTACAACGCTATACATACATAGGTCGAGTTTATTGTGGTCTGACTTGCCCATGTGTTTTTATACAATGTTAGTTCTTTCAGCCGAGTTGCAGTATTTTATTAGTACGCGCATTTACATACATGCCAATCCCAAAATCCCGATCCCAAAAATCCCGGGATTTTTTCGGGATTAGGATATCCCGAAACCCGGGGTTTTTCAAAATAAATCCCGGGATTTGTTTCAAAAACTGTTTTTATTTTCTTTTTTTGAGCCATAATTTTCATTAATTTGAAAATTACGATCTTATTTTATTTTCGACTCATGCAAAACTATATTATACATACATATTATACATATTTGAACCTTTTATTTTTTAAAGTGGTATGATTCCATACACATAGCACATATAAATTTATTTATTCACTTCGTTTTTATACCCTACACCACTTTAGTGGGGAGGGTATATTGGGTTTGTGCTGATGTTTATTACGCACAAAAATATTGGTCCTATACCCATCTTAAAGTATACCAATCATTTTCTGAGTCGATTTAGCTATGTCCGTCAGTCCGTGTAAACCTTGTAATAAACCACAGCAATTTTGAAGATAATTCAATGAAATTTAGCATGATCTTCTATTGTACTAGAGACGGATCCTATTGAAAATGGGTAACATCGGTCCAATATTTGACCTAGCCCCCATACAACTGAACCCCCCGAATAGGGCTTTTAAGTTCATAATTATGTTCAATATACTCGTATCTCGACAAAAAGCTGCAAAGCCAAGTTCTATACTAGCCTTCATGACCCTGATGTATTTTTTTATGATACGGCCTCATTTGACCCTAGCTCCTATACAAAGCCCCCTTCGAAATATGACTTAAATGTACACAATTTTATTCAACAAAAAATAGATAAAGTATTTCTGAGGCAGTATTTAAAGTATTTAGATGCTTTATTATGAACAATGAATCACATTTTATTTTTATAACTGGTGTAGGGTATTATATGGTAGGCTTCGCCCAACTATAACTTCTTACTTGTTAACACATCGAAATGTTGGTCGTAGACTACTACGAATATAATAACATGTTCCAAAACTAATATGTATTTTGTGTAAAATTCCAAATATTTTTTAAAGAATAGGTTCTAAATTGATGTTCGAATAATTGAATTGGTATCTGTTATAATTATTAGTTCACATGGAACAGTATAAGGTTTTAAAAAGTGCTTATGTCTAATTTCGGAACTTGATATTTATTTTTATTTGGGAAGTAAGTATGTATTTAAAAAGTTTCAGAAATTATGCAATTCTGAAAGTTTTTATTTAAAAATTGGAATTAATTGGATTGTTTTAATTTAAATATATCTTCTGTCTGCTAAATTTCCACAAAATTAAACAATTTTCTTTACAAATATGATGATTTAAAGATTTTCATATATAAAATAATTAAATTCATGTAATCCCGAAATCCCGGGATTGCAATTTTCAAAATCCCGAATCCCGTGTTTTATAAAAGCCAGTCCTGTTTGGCATCCCTAATATGTATGTATGTATTTTGTGTGTACACATTTATGTTTGTTTACTTTTCGTGTTTATGTCTATATTGAATTCAATGCGTTTCGTTGGTAAAAATAACTTTTTAATTAAATTTTATACGATTATTCTCTTTTTTGTTTTTGGTTCTGCGGTATACAGAAAATATTAACTTGTTTTTACTGTTGTGAGTTTTATTTACGGAATCCTACTCAACGCAACAGTTACGTACGCAGTTATAAGCTGTTAAGGCCGCCCAGAGGTGCACTACCAGAGGTAAAGGTGCAGGTGGTCGTGACACAATGCAGTCACTAAAATTCAACTTATTTATGGCTGTTATTGCGGTTGGAATAACAGTTGTTTTTGTTAAACCAGGTAAGTGTCAAAACGTTTTGGTCAAAATGCTTTGTTTATAACCGACTCTCACTCTCAGTAAATGTACAATGTGTGAAGGAACAATGTCCACAAAATAACAAAAAAATGCAGATTTAGTATGGATGAGTCACATGTTGTTGATTTCAGATTTATTGTAAAATATCACAATGACAAGTGTTTTTACTAAATTAAAGCAGTGAGTGGGTGGATGTATTTTTTCATTATTTCTTTAATAAGAATTGAATACAAGTAAAAAATTTAAACCATCATAGATTTGTGATCACTGTACGGTATGGAGAATACGAGATATGGAAATGGAGATAACGAGAATATCCATTTGAGCTTAAATTTTATAAATCTTAGGGCCAATATCTCAAACTCTTCCGGTTAAAATAACTATTATAAGTAAACTGTCAGTTTATCTTTAGGATAACACATAATCAAACATTGAGAAAAGGAGAGGTTAGATTCAAAAACTAAAGAAGAGCGGAAGCCGAAGCATAGTTTTGTGGTAGAAAAACAGGAATGACGAAGTTTTTATAAACTATAAAGGCAAAAAACAAATTTTATTTTAAAGGAAGGCCTAATAGAAAAATTCTATTGAATTATGCATTTTTTATTTTTGATGGTGTTTTTGTTTAAAATGAATAAAACAACATTTATTATTCGATTAACCGAATAAGTTTAAATTATCCGATTATTAACCGGCTAACATATAACTTCAAATAATTATGTATTTGTCGAATAAAACTATTCGGGTTTTTGTATTGAATACCCTTGTTAGAACTAAATATTTATAACTTTTTTAAAGGTTATTGGAAAAAGTCTTGTTTGCAAGTTTTTCTAATAAATTAAAAAGTTTTATATAAAGAACAAAACCTATTATCACAATTTACGCAAGTGGCCATACATATGTATGTATGTATGTATGTATGTATGTATGTATGTATGTGTTTGCCTGTATGTACATACATATACGTATGTGTATGTGTGTATATCATATGACCTTCAAACTTTGATGGCCTATAATTTTCATTGGATGTAGCTTCTTTAATTTTTATTGTTGTAATCTTTGGTTGCTGTTGGTTGTATATGATACATAATTACAATTGAACTTTAAAATAAAGAAAGTTAAAAAGCAAACCAAACCAAAAAGGTTGACAAAATATGTATGTATATTTAAAGTTCTTTCATAAGTTTTCTTAAATTTAAAACACATTAGAGTGGCCCCTTTTGTATGGAGGAAAAATAAGGTGTCGATGTTCCCAACTAAAATTAAAGTCTAATTGATTATAAAATAGCGTTTCTCAAAATTTTTGTCCTGGGGTCAATATTTGGCGAGCTGGATCAAAGTATAAAAATGTTCTTTTTTAAAGTTTTTATGATTTTTTTTAATATTTTTTCCAAAGGAAAGTTATAAAATTTTGGTTATAAGAAAGGTCCTCGAGAGACGCTTTTAATGACATATCATGTGCAACAGTAAAAGTAATCGAAATTTTCTAATTTTTCGTTAAATTTTCAGATTTTTTACATTTTATCATAGAAAAATTTAATATAATTCATTGAAATTAATACACAATAATCCTCAATAAAATCTTCCGAAACGGTTTTTTCCGTTTTTCAAAATTCAATCTTGATCAAATTTTATTTAAATTTATCGAAACCAAATCATCGCGAAATAATGAAAACAACAATATAGAAACCGTTATTTACAAAGCAAGCATAACAAATAATTAGATGTTTATTATAAATTGTGTTAATATTTTAGTTGAACTGAAATTACGCTGATGTACATATTAAATACGTTAGATAAATATAGCTAGCAGAAAACCTGGGACAAAATAGAGTTTAAAATATTAAAAAAAATCAAAATATACATGCATGTATGTATGTATTAGGGTTGTCATTCGAATAAAAATTATTCGATTAATCGAGGAAAAAAAATTTGTTTTTCTTCGAACGAATAAAAAATTTCCAATTTAGAATAAAGAATAATTCGAACAATTTTTGTCGATTAATCGAATATTCGAATAATATTTGAATGATACTTTTTACGAATATATTATTATACATAGCATTGAAATTATGTTAATATTTTGTAGAACAAATCTAAATATAAAGATATGTTATATTTGAAACAAAACTTTTACTACTTTTTGCAGTTTATAAAAATGTTTGTTTTGCAATGTTAAAAATAAAATGGTTCTAGTTTTAAAAGTGATATTCTTCAATTTTTTTAATATTTGCAATAAGTGAAACAGATAAACATTAATTAACATGGTTCTTTCAGTATCTGTCTTTTTACAAGAAAGACAACAATTTCTAAATATACTGAACCCTGTTTCCTGGGCGATATGTAGGAGAACTATAGGCATGAAATGGGGTCTTCGTCCTACTATAAAACATTGGTTTTATTAAAGTGTAATTAGACTAATTCTAGCTTATGCTTCAATAATCGGGTTGACTTCTTTGGACAAAAAGTGTAGTATCAAACTACAACAGGGAGTTCAGCATACATGCTGCTTGGGTACAGGTGGCAAGCAAGGCTCCAGAAACGTTGCTCGATATTCCACCCATTGAAACATATTTAAAATATGAGGCGGCATTTACAACCGAACGGCTCATAAATTTAGGTGAAATGTCCAAAATCAGTTATATGACACGTCATCAATGTATCGCCTGATCGCATCCTAGACACAGAATATGTCAGAAACTTTGAAACACTGAGCCCAGATAGAATGTCTTGTTCAAGCGGAACATTTCTCTCGAACACTGATTGGGAAATTCTTAGGAATTACGGCCAGGAAACTGAGTTTCAGAACATTGAAAGATAATACATTCAGTCGACACTATGTTGTTTTTTTTTACCAAAAAACCTTTTTCTTCCATGAAAAGCAGCGCACAATGGGCCCGATAGTGGCCTGTTTCTAATACATTAATAAGTAGTACGATTTTCTTATATAAAACAGTTTGTAAAAATGTCTGCAAAGCAGGTTAGCTAAACATCGTATATATCATTATAAAGGCCGCAGCTTCCACTTTTAAATCCGTTGAGAAATTTAAAATAGGTTGAGATTCAGCTAAGTTACTGATTTATAAGAAAACCGTTTTATTTTAAGATTTTGAAGGTGTTTTGCAATTTTATTTATATTTTATTAAATTATTCGAATAAAAACTTTTATGTATGTATGTATGTATGTATGTATGTATGTATGTATGTATGTATGTATGTATGTATGTATGTATGTATGTATGTATGTATGTATGTATGTATGTATGTATGTATGTATGTATGTATGTATGTATGTATGTATGTATGTATGTATGTATGTATGTATGTATGTATGTATTTATGTATGTATGTATGTATGTATGTATGTATGTATGTATGTATGTATGTATGTATGTATGTATGTATGTATGTATGTATGTATGTATGTATGTATGTATGTATGTATGTATGTATGTATGTATGTATGTATGTATGTATGTCTGTTGTCTGTTGTCTGTATGTCTGCCTGTTGTCTGTATGTCTATTGTCTGTCTGTAATGTACGGTTGTCTGTCTGTCCTGTCTCTGTATGTATGTCTGTATGTCTGTATGTCTGTCTGTCTGTCTGTCTGTGTGGTATGTCTGTAGATCCTTTACTGTCTGTCTTCTGTTATGTATGTTTCTTTCTGTTGTCTGTCTGTCTGTCATGTCTTCTGTATGTCTGGACTGTATGTATGTATGTATGTATGTATGTCTGTAGTATGTATGTCTGTATGGATGTATGTATGTCTGTATGTACGCGTCTTTCAAACGATACCCCATGTTGAATATAGTGTTTCAAACAAATTTAAATTTAAAAAAATAATTCAAAAATACCCTTTTAATCATAAAAGAAAGCAAGAAAAATTTTGAGAGTGGTAACAAAAACACATATTTGCTTTCCATACAGAGTGAGTCGTCTAATGAACGTACTACATATGTATTTACGTATATAAAGCATGTATGTAGTAAATTTCTAGTAGAAATAACAAGTTAATCCTACAAGCCGACAAGTTCTACACAGAAGGCCATAAATTTTCTCGATGGGGCTGATAATCTTCTTTAAAGTCGGACGTTGTCCCAGTCACATTGGCGCCATTTTTTTCATATGCATACATTCATATATCGCTGATTTACTACAAGACCGACATAAATCATAAAACTTCGTTTTGAGTAAAACAACATTAAATTGTTTGTGACATTTTACATTTTTTTAATAATTTTCGAACATATTTGCTGGTCTTTAAAAGTAAAATATAAAGATGGTGTTAATGTGTTTCTCATCTGAATATAAACTAAATTTTTACTTATCAAATATATGTACACACGTAAACAACTTGGGCTTTAGTTTTGACGTTTACAACAATATAATAGATATTTTTTAAAATTTACTTTCAAGTTCAGAAAACTCGAGTTTTGGATTATGCCAGTCTTGTAGTAAATGAGCAAAATGTACATCTCACATCTTTAATCACACATATGTATGTATGTATGTATATTAGGGTGGCCCCGTTTGTATTTATGAAAAATAAAGTATTAATGTTCCCAACTAAAATTAAAGTTTAATTGATTCTAAGATACCATTTCTCAAAAATTTTGTCCTGGCGTCAATATTTGGTGAGCTGGATCAAATGATAAAATGGATCTGTTGTGAGGTTTTTATGATTTTTATCATATTTCATCCAAAGGAAAGATATGAAATATTGGTATCATAAGAAAGGTCCTTAAGAGGCGCTTTCAATGGCTTATCAGAATTTTAATCGAAAATTTCTAATTTTTCGGGAAATTTTCAGATTTTAACACAGATTATTTTAAAGTAATTTGTTAAAATTAAATTAAACTTAATAATCCTCAATAAAATCTACGGAAACGTAAGAAACAAATACATGTTTAGTATAAATTATGTTAATATTTTAGTTAAACTGAAAAATTTGATTTATAATAGAATGAAACCTTAAAGTGTTATATAC